ACGGGGAGTCCTCAGGGCTGTGAAGAAAACACCTACAGGCCCCGGGGGGGGGTTGTCCCTGAGCTTTAGGATTATCTCCTCTGCCTGGTGGAGGCAGGAGCCCCAGGACACAGGAGGCTGCCTGGGAGGATTTCCCAAAAACTACATGAGAGCCCAAACCCGAAGGCAGCCTGGAGTGGATTTGTTGCCAGGCTACTAGCCACGGGAGGGGGGCCTGAGGGCTGTGGTGCTTCTGTTTGCCCACAGGCATGTCGTGGAGCCCAGACAGCAGCTGTGGCAGCACCCAGGATGAAGAAGTTTGCCATCTACAGATGGGATCCTGATAAGCCCGGGGACAAACCCCGGATGCAGACCTACGATGTGGATTTGAATAAGTGAGTGTGAGGCCCTGGGGCTGTGGGTGAGCACAGCTTATCTGCCAAGGGATCACCAGGGTGCTGGAGGAGCCCTTGAGTTGACAGCTCGAGGTGTCAGCAGCCTCCTTGTGCTTCAGGGACTGCTCACCTGTGTTACAGAGCACCTCGTTTTCAGCAGGGGGCAGGTCAGGATGGTTTCCTGCTAGAGCAGATCTTACTGTGCTCCTGGGGGGTTATTTTTCCCCTCCCTCACCTGTCAGAGAGAAGGGTGACAAAAAACTGGCTCCTCAGTGCCAGTGTCTGGATGGGGGGAAAGGCTGAGAGCCCTGGGGCTGCTGAGCTGGAGAAGAACAGCCTCAGAGGGGATCTGATCCGTGCTGAGCAAGAGCTAAAGGGCCCTGGGGGGCAAGAGGCTGGGGCCAGACTCTGCTCAGTGGTGCCCAGCCACAGGACAAGGGGCAACAGGCACCAACTGGAACCCAGGAGGTGCCACCTGAGCAGGAGGAGAAACTTCTTTGGGGTGAGGGTGCAGAGCCTGGAGCAGCTGCCCAGAGAGGCTGTGGAGTCTCCTGCTCTGGAGAGATCCCAAACCTGCCTGGCTGTGACCCTGGGCACCCTGCTGTGGGTGAGCTGCTGGAGCAGGGGGTTGGAGGAGATGATCCCAGAGGTCCCTTCCCACCCCACCAGGCTGGGACCCTGTGTAACAGCTGTCAGCAGTAAAATGGTCACTTCATTTTGTCACTCCTGTGAGGTTTTACCTCTATCCCTACCTTGGGTCAAAGACTTGAAGGCATTTGTGGCTTTGATAACCTTTATTTACATTTTTTTGAGGCCCATTCCAGCAGGCAGCTGTTTTACTTCTAACTCACAGTCCCAGAGCTGGGCACTGAGGTGGAAACTTTATCAATTCTTCTAGTTTTCTCCACACTGAGTGACTTCTGGCTTGCAGGACACGTTCCACTGCTAGTAGCCACCTGGATGCTTTGGTGTAGCCACCCCTGAGCAAGCTCTGGGTTCTCTGTCCCTCTGCAGAGGGCTGTGGTGCACAAACCTCCTCAGCTTCCTGGGGCTCTGGTTGCTGCTGAGCTCTTGCCAGAGGAATTCACCTCCAGCCCTTTCTGAGAGCTTCAGCTGCTCAGCCACGTGGCTGCCTCCTGCAGCAGGGGACAGAGGGCTCCCCATTTTTATGTGAATTGCACCATTTAACAATTTCTGGGTGGTGCTTTGCCTGCTGGATCTCAAATTGCATAAGTTGGCTGAGACTGTTTGTTTTTGGAGGCAGAGCTGCCTGCTGTGACTCATGAGGACAGGCAGACTTGTTCCAACCTGACCCAAAAGGGGAGAACCAGGAGCAAAGCACTCAGCTTCCAGTTGAGGAAGGTCCCACCCTGACCCTGGGCTGTGCTGAGGCAAAGGGGTCACACTGCTGAGCAGGAGATCTCACTTGGTGCCTGAAATAGGCAAAAAAGGGGAAAAAAAAGTCTCTTTTTAATTAAAGCTGATCAAAATCCTTGTGGGTGCTGCTTAGTTGGGGTACCAGAGGCCAAGCCCTGAGGCTGGAGAGGAGTTACAGGTGCTCTCTGCCTTTGTTCTGTGTTCTAGATGTGGGCCTATGGTGCTGGATGCTCTGATCAAGATTAAAAATGAGCTGGACTCCACCCTGACCTTCCGTAGGTCCTGCAGGGAAGGTAAGGAGGATTTTCCAACCTGCTGAGCTCAACCTGGGCTTCTGGTTGCCAGCAGAGCAACGTGTCACAGCTAGAAAACTCAAGGCTAGGTGGCACCTCCTGCTCTCCTCTCCCAGCTGCTGCCAGGAATGGAGCAGCAAAAGTTCAAGCTCCTCTTCCCAGGGTGTCATTGCACCAGCCTGAGCTGGGAGCGACGTGTTTGAACAGCTCTAGTCCTTCCTGTTCCTCTCCTAATCTTCTTCATCTCCCTGGGGAAAGCCAGCCAGAAAGATTCCAGCTGGAAAATGGAGGGGGCAGAGGCAGCACGTGGGAATGGATCCTAGGGGCTGCTGTGCAACCAGAAAGGGTGTAGCTGGGGAGAGTACTTAGGACTTCTAGGAATAGCTTCAGGAATTTGTTTGGTTTTTTTTTTTATGGCCCTTTGACTAAGCTGAATGATGGATTGAGGAAAAAGCCAGCTGGTGGTTTGACATTGCAGAGCAACCAGCTGCTCCTCCCACAGGTACAGACCAGAGGGTTCTCTGCATTCCAACATACCTGCCTGGGTGCTTCTCCCTGTCAAAAAAAAACCCTCATTTGGGGTAAGATTGGGCTGCTGAGCTTAAAAATGGCAGTAAGGGGAAATGCAAGAAGGGAAGGACGCCTTTGTGGAGTGGCTTGAGGTGGATTTGCAAGAAATTTAGGTGCAGTTGGTGCCTAAAGCTGTTTTGAGTCAGGTCTCAAAGCAAAGCAGGATTTAACACAGTGTTCTCTGTGGAATTCCCAACGCTGGGCTTGTTCCAGCCTCTGATGTTGAGATAGTCAACACTGCTCCCAAGCAGGGGGAATTATTTGCCCTGAATCCTTTGAGAACCTGAAGATGGGAGTTTCAAGCTGGGCTGGTTCAATCTTCCCCCTTCTGTACCACAGAAAAGGGGGGTTAAAAAGAAAACCCTGCTCACCCGTTGCTGTCCTGTGCTCCTGCAGCCCTGCTGCCCTCTCCAGCTGACTGGAAAATCCTTGTAACCACCTCTGCAGTGGGAGGAAGAGCCTTGTCCCCTTGCCAGCCTTCCCCTGGCAGCCAGGGGAGGCCAGAGTGTCAGGGGCTGAGGCAGATGGGCTCAGCAGTGGCATTTCTGTCACTCGTATCAACTGATCTGTGTCAAATCCTCTGAAATTCGAGTTCTGCCCTTTCCACCTTTGTCTCCTTTCTCACACCACCTTCCAGGCATCCCTCTGCATCAGATACCCGAGCTCCTGACCCGTGACAGTTCTGTGGTGCTTTTTCTTCTAAACCTTGGCCTTTCCTGGGCTTCATCTGATCCTTCTGTTCCTGGGGGGGGATCATTAGTGGTGTCATTTCATCCATTTGTCCAGCTATTTATATGCTGTTTGTTCTGCTGAGCGTCTCTCCTCTCACCTTGGCCAGTGGAGTGCAGTTTATGGCACCACTCTGCCCTGCTGCAGAAGGCAAGGAGAGAAGCTGCTGTCTTGAGGACTCAGGGTCATATTCTGACCTTCAGGGACACTTCTGACCTTCAGGGACACTTCTCACCCTGGCTGAAGGGTGCTGTGCCTCCTTCCCATCTTAAAATCTCTCTGGCTGCCTCACATCAACACGAGCTTGTGCTTCAAACTTGTGAACAAAGCTGAGGGTTTTCCCCACCCTAAGCAGGAGTTAAAACTAGTGAAGGAAAGGGATGGAGTGTCCCAGCTGCTGGTGAGAACATTTTTAGGCTTTGATGAAAGTGACTCCTGGGTTTGTTGTGTGTTTTAAGCAGCAACACGCTCAGCCCAGTGGCAACTTGGGTCGTTTTCCTGGTCACGTACAGAGTGTCTTGAAGACAACCTGAGGGCATGTTTGAGGCCACGAGGATCTTCTTCAAGTAGGATAAGAGGATAAATATCTCCTGCTTTGCTCTTTCCTCCCACTCAGGCATCTGTGGCTCTTGTGCCATGAACATCGCTGGTGGAAACACGCTGGCCTGCATCAAAAAGATTGACCCTGATCTCAACAAGATCACCAAAATCTACCCACTCCCCCACATGTATGTGGTGAAGGACCTCGTTCCAGTGAGTACCCACCTCTCTCTGTGCCCTACCAAGGGTGACAGCCTTGGGTTCAGCTTTGGGGAACGTTGGGAGGTGCCAACAAGATGAGGTCTCACCATTCATGTTACTCCTGCTGGGGTTTTCTGCCTTGGGTGGGTCTGAGCTTCACAGCAGTGACTAAATCTGGCCTCACGTGGAGGAATGCAGCAGGTTGAGGTGGAAACTGCCACCTTCTGTCAGAGTGGTAGATGTTCCATCTCTGGGGTGTGAGTTTAGCCTCAATCCATGTGACCTTTTGGCCTTTTGACTCCTAGGACTTGAGTAACTTCTACGCACAGTACAAATCCATCGAGCCTTACCTGAAGAAGAAGGATGAGTCCAAACAGGGCAAGCAGCAGTACCTGCAGTCCATTGAAGACCGTCAGAAACTGGTTACTGCTTCTTTTCCACCCTTGAAATCCCTTCCAGATAAGAGCAGGGTTAAATGTGAACACTCAGCAACCTTCTGTGACAAAGCTGATGCAAACCCCCCCCCCCGTGGGTGGAATCCCAGCCTCAGGGGGAGTGGTTTTGATGGGGACTCTGATCTTATTGCCACTGTCTGTGCCATGAAACCCCTGTGTGTTTGCCACTGTAAGGGCTTCAGGCCTGTGATGATCTAAAAACTACCAGCAGGAGCTTTTTTGGGTGTGGAGACAAGCCTGGTGTGCTGCTGCTGGTGGGGTTTTGAGGAGTGTGTAGTGGTGTTGGTTCAGGGTTTCTGTGTCAGGCTGAAGGGTGTCTGAGGAACCATTTGAACACTCAGGACCTTTTTAAAAAGCTTAGAGCCTGGGTAAGGGCTTGGCTGGATTTCCTTGGCTGCCACGGTGAGTGTTGTTAAATCAGCAGCTCCTGCTTTGCCTCTGAGCTGTCTGGATGGAGCCTTCACTCCCTGCAGAGTTCCACACTCAGGCTCTCAACACTCCCTGGGAGCTGTGGCCACAGTGCTGCCACCAAGCAGGCACAGTGTGGGTGGGCAGCCAGCAGCAGAAGAGAGGAGAAGCTGAGCAGCAGAGGGAAGCTGAGGAAAGGGGATTCCCTGCAAACATGTGAGCTGCAGCTCAGCCCTCTGCAGCCAGCTTTGAACCTTTTCCACTGTGAAAACAGTGAATAAATGGGTCCTGCACCCAAGGTGTCAGTGGCTGTGACATCCTGACAACCACAGGGTCTTACTAAGGGTAGCAGTGATGTCTGTGCTGCTTCACAGGGTGGTCTGGTCCCCAGGTGAGAGCTAAAGGGCCTCTCCCTTCACCTGGGTTTTAAAAAGTGCTGTCCTTGAAACCATTTTCTCATTCAAGCAGAAATAAGCAAAGCTAAAAGTGACAGGGAGAGCTGCCCAGATCTCTCACAACTTGCTTTTTATCTCACTGCTGATGTTCCTCCTGCTTGACAATGGCCTCTGTGCTGAAGACAGTGTCAGCTGAGAAATTCCACCTTTTTCTATAAATCATCCAATTATTTCAAGTGTTGCAATTAGAAATTGGACAAATTTAGAGCAAGAAAGTAACTCTGACTTGCTGACCTTTGGCAAGGCTTTCCAAAAGATTAAGGCAAGCTCCCAGGAGTTCTGGCATCAGGCACCTTCCTGAATTAAATTTAAGGAGATCTTGACCCCAAAACAACTTTCAGTTATAAAAATTAAGTCTGTCTGGGCTCTGCCTCTTGGCCTGGGAGGGTTGGCTGAGCTACTGGGAGGGTTGACTGAGCTACTGGGAGACTTAGGAGCCCCTCTGCTCCTCAAGAGTTTTTCTGCCCAGTGGAGCTTCCTTGTAGGTCTACCTGTTCTTCAGTGCCTGCAATAAAAAGGCCTTAATCTCTCCAAAAATGGTGAAATAGCCACAGACTGGCACCATTCCTGTTCTGGAAGTGCTTGTGCATCCCCTCCCAGCACGTGCTGCCCTCAGAGCTCCTTTCCCTGAGGCTGCCAGGCAGACTTTGCTCTTTCTTCTCTCCTGTACCATGACCTCGAGTTGTTTGTTGGTCATGTATCTCTTCCTTTCCCCAGCCACTTACTGGCAGGAAGGAATGCAGGAAGGTGAAGCAATTTTAACATTTTTCTTCAGTTTTTGTTGTCACAAAGCCCTAGTTTGTTTTATAGGTTGAGGTGGGAGGGTTGCTTGTAACTTTTCACAGCACCTGCGTGGAGCAGTTGCTTTTTTTCCATGAATTTTTTGGAGCAGTTCTGTTCCAGCAAATCTGATGGGGAAGGTGGTGAGGGAAACGTGCTCTTGTAAATCCCCTCTTTAGAAGGATCCTAAAAAAAAAAAAAGGCTTTGTCTTGTGTTTGTGGAGTGTCTTGACTGTGGTGTCCCACCCCCGTGCAGGACGGACTCTACGAGTGCATCCTGTGTGCCTGCTGCAGCACCAGCTGCCCCAGCTACTGGTGGAATGGAGACAAATACTTGGGCCCTGCAGTGCTGATGCAGGTAAGGATGGAACCCCCATGGCACTGCTGAGGGACCCCCCACCTCACACCCACCCCAAATCACTTGCCCAGCAGGGGTGGGATAGGGGAACACAGTCCAGATCTTGGACCACAACTCCCGAGCTGGGTGTTGCTTTGAAAATCCCCCCACACACACTTCTGAAGCCACCCTGAGGAAGAGTTTGGGGTGCCCAGTGGTGCTGCCTTCCAGGCCTATCGTTGGATGATTGACTCCAGAGATGACTACACAGAGGAACGCCTGGCACAGCTTCAGGACCCTTTTTCTCTCTACCGTTGTCACACGATCATGAACTGCACCAGGACTTGCCCTAAGGTCAGTGTGGGTCCTGCCTCTGCCCCTTTTGGGGTTCCTGGCTCCTTTCCAAGCCACTCGTTGGAAACCTGTAGGAAAATATCCACTTGGGTTCTTGTTTTCCTCGAGCTTGCTCCATCTTCTGAGGCACAGTGAGTTGCCAGCAGTCGTGCTTAGGGTAGTGACTGCACAAGAGGATGTGGCAAAGGTCATGTTACCAAGGACATCTCTGCCTCTTGAGCAAGGCTGTGCTCAGCAAAAGCCTCAGCTGGGACTCTGAGAACCTAGAATCATAGAATCCTTTAGGTTGGAAGAGACCTCCAAGATCATCAAGTCCAACTCTTGAGCCATTAGGGCTCTAAAGTCCTCTGCTAAAACAGGTCAGAATCTGTCAGGGTTGGAAGGGACCCCAAGGATCCCCCAGTTCCAACCCCTCTGCCATGAGCAGGGACACCTCCCACTAGATCAGGCTGCCCAGAGCCTCCTCCAGCCTGGCCTTAAAGACCCCCAGGGATGGGGCCTCAACCCCCTCCCTGGGCAACCCATGCCAGGGTCTCACCTCTCTCATGGTGAAGAACTTCTTCCTCACATCCAGCCTGAATCTGCCCACTGCCAGCTTTGCCCCATTCCCCCCAGTCCTGTTGTTACTCAATATCCTAAAAAGTCCCTCCCCAGCTTTCTTGTAGCCCCCCTAAGATCCTGGAAGGCCACAATAAGGTCCCCTGGGAGCCTTCTCCTCTCCAGACTGAACAGCCCCAACTCTCTCAGTCTGTCCTCACAGCAGAGCTGCTCCAGCCCTCGGATCATTCTCGTGGCTCTTCTCTGGACACGCTCCAACCTGTTTGTTCCCAAGATTTAGGAGTGTGACAGCAGGGAGCTGGTTGTGCCAGAAGTGACGTGTTGTGCCCCTCCTGTAGTGGAGGAGACTCCAGGAAGTTCTCATCACCTTTTGGGGATGTGTTTTGTGCTGCCATCCCCGTTGGGGCATTTCCCAGCTGCTCTCTTCTCTCTGGTATTTAGTTTTAACAACTAAGGGAGCTTTCCCAAATCAGAGCCTGCCTCTTCCTCAGCTTGCAGTGAGCTGCTGCCTGTTGTTGGGCAGAGTCTCAGGGTTTGGTTGCTTGCCCACTGTGCTGTTTGCTGGCCAGCCTTTGCTTGCACCTGGTGGTGGAGTAATTCTTGAGCTGTGAAGGTAAATGCTGGAGTGGATCCTGGATGTGGGATCTTTTGAGCAGGGCCTGTTGGGACAGGACAAGAGGTGGTGGTTTTAAGCTAAAAGAGGGAGGTTTAGACTAGAGAAAAGGAAGAAATTGTTGCTGCTGAGGGTGTTGAGCCCCTGGCCCAGGCTGCCCAGAGAGGTGGTCACTGCCCCATCCCTGGAACCATCCCAGGGGAGGTTGGATGTGGCTCTGAGCACCCTGCTCTAGCTGCAGGGGGGTTGGAACTAGATGGGCTTTAAAGATCACTCCCAACCCAAACCTGTGAGTCTGTGTGGAGAAGATGAGATCCTTGATCTTGAGTTTGTGATGAAGATACACAGCTTTTTGATTCCTAAGAGGGAGAAAAGCCCCATCTCTTGCACTGCCACCATCAAGCTTTCACAAGGCAATTCCCAGAGGTCACCTTGTGACACCCCTGAAATTGTTGAATCCCATCCTGCTTGGGCTTTTATTAAAAGTTCCAATCCCTCAGCCACTCATTCCTCTCTTTGATCCTCGCGTTGCTGATTAAAACCCTTCTTCCACAGCCAAATGAGCAGCTTTTTCTCCAAGCCCTGGGAGGTGCTGCTGGTTCAGCCTCCAGATAGAGCTGGGAGCTCACCACCTCTGTGTCCCTGCTCTCTCCCCATGGAAATTTGGGCCACGGCATCAGCACACCTTGACCTCTGCCTCCCAGAATCCCCAACCAGCCTGGAGCAGGCTGCTCAGAGCTGTCCCTGGAGTGAAGGACAATATTGGGGTGGACTCCAGCTTGGGGCCTGCAGGAAAGCTGGGGAGGGACTTTTTACAAAGGCTTGTGGTGATAAGATGAGGGGTGATGGCTTCCAACTGCAAGAGGGAGATTTAGACTGGAAATTAGGAAGTTCTTCACTCTGAGGGTGGTGAGACCCTGGCCCAGGCTGCCCAGGGAAGCTGTGGATGCTCCATCCCTGGTTCCAGACCAGCTGGGATGGGGCTTGGAGCAACCTGCTCTAGTGGGAGGTGTCCCTGCCCATGGGGGTGGAACTGGATGATCTTCAAGGTCCCTTCCAACCCATTCTGTGATTTTAGGGAAAAAAAAGGGTGTTCTCTGCCAGCTATTTTTGACCAGCAGTAGAAAACTGACAAGTCCACGACTTAGATCCAGGAGAGGAGCAGGGAGGATGCTCCAACATCCCAATTTCCAGAGGAGCTGAACTGAAACTTTTCCTTTTTCAGGGGTTGAACCCAGGCAAAGCCATCGCCGAGATCAAGAAGATGATGGCAACCTACAAAGAGAAGGCAGCTGCTGTGTGACACAGCTCCCTCCCTGCCAGGCATTCACCCCCAAATTTAGCAGGAGAAGGTTCCAGCAGGGAGTTTGGCCTTTCCCTGGAGGTTTGCACATCCAATAAATCCTGTTCAGAACAAATTAAGGGTGGTTCTTTTATTACCAGCACCAAACTGGTGCCCGTGCCTCTTAACCATAGAATCCCAAACCCCTCTGCTTTGTGGTTTTGAGCTTGGGGGTCACCTCAGAGAGGAGCAGAGACAGAATTTCTGCAGTGACCTTGATCCTGTGTCTCTAAAGCCTGTGTGGGAAGAGACCTGCAGGTAATGAGCTGGAAGAAAACAGTGGAAGTGGCTGGGAAAGGGGAATGTGGGAAGATCCTCACCCTGCGTGGAGGAACTGAAGGTGGCTCCTTGTTGCTTTGATGGTCGCTGAGCTCCTGAGGGGTTTTCTCAAGAAGCAGAAGCTCTGCCTGGGGCACGTCCAAAGAAAACCCATCCTGTGAGAGAACCCAGCACTGCCTGGCCAGGATGGGGGTGCAGCTCCTCCCCAGTGCTGGGTGTTTCTCCAGCACTCAGAGCCTAAAACCAGCTTTGGTTGGAGGGGCTGTTTTGGGGTCTTGTTTGGCTTCATACCCCTGTTGAGGGCCAGAAAAGTGGGGGCTGCAAAGCCTCTTTTGGGGCAAAACCTGGTCCATTTGCAAGAATGGGTGTGAAAAGCTCTTTTTGGGGCATTTCCTTTCACAATTTGCGGGTGCAAAGGTGTTTTTTTTTGGGTGTGGAATAGAGTTAGTTTCCTAACACAATTTGGGAGTACAAAGGCTTTTTTGGGGGGCAGAGCCCAATGCATTTCCTTGCACGATTTGGGGGCACAGTGCCCTTTTTGGGTGCACAGCTTGGCCCATTTCCTTACCAGATGTGGGGGTGCAGAGCCCTTTTTGGGGCAGAACCTGAGTATTTTGTTGTGGGAGGTGCAGAGCTCTTTTGATGGGGCTTTTGGGGGTGGAGTCAGAGCCTGGTGCATTTCCTTGCACAATTTGAGGGCAGAAAGCCCTTTTTCGGGCCAAACCCTGGTGCATTTCCTTACAAGATATAGGGCATGAAAAGCCCTTTCTGGGGGCAGATCCTGCACGATTTGGGGGCACAAAGCCCTTTTTGGGGGCAACGCTGGGTCCATTTCCATGCCAGATGTGGGGCTGCAGAGCCCTTTTTGGGGGGCAGAACGCGGGTAATTTGTTAAGGGGGGTGCAGAGCCCATTTTTGGGGGCACATTTTGCCAGGCCGTGTGCGTGCAGCACTCAGGGTGTCTCCTGAGGCT